ATATATATATGTGTGTGTGTGTGTGTGTGTGTGTGTATATATATATATATATATTAAAATAATCATGAGACCATTTTAATTGAGACACTTAAGTTTTTATTGATTTTTTTAATGTATTTTTATCACTGATTGATTTTTTTATTTATGATCCTGAAGGATGGACTCATTCTTCCTCAAATCTGGTGAAGATTTTGTACTTTGCTGTATCAACCATTTCTGTGCAGAACACCTCATAATCTTTTTGTTTCCCAAATACAAAAGTGAACAGTTCGGCTGGAGAACTTTCGCCATATTCACCCATCCAGCTCTGCAATTTGCATTGGGATGCAATTTGTTGCTCCTTTTCCATTGAAAGGACAATGGGAAATTGTATTTTTCCATCCCAGTTTCTCTTGCTACACCAGTCAGCTGCAGTCCTGGCGTCTCTCAGAAGAAGGATTTCCTGCAGTAAATAACAAATATGGTCAAAATATCCTCTACCTTTTCTTTCCTTCGAAAGATGTGCACCTCAGAAGCACAGATTCGGCCATATATCGGCATATATTGACATTGGTTTGCAACCAATAAATCAGAACCTAAGAAATGTCGGCGAGAAAGACCGTTCCTTCAGAAGCTTTCTTCAAAGAAAACGATGAAAAGAAGCTGTCAGCACAATGTTGTGTTAGTAATGCTAGGCTGGCAATGATTACACATTTATTTTATTCCTGTTATTATTCTAAAGACATCTGGTGAGCGAGAGAGTCTTTCAGTGTGTTTAAACGACTGTGACTCTGTTTATTTTTGCACTACGTGTCCCAGATTTAATATATAATATTCATAATATTTCCATGTCTGCTTCAAATGAACGTTTATTCAGTACAGTTTCGTTTAAAATCTTAAGCATGTGCCTAATCTGTGTAAGTTACAAGTCAAAACTGTGCTGCTGTTTCATTTGACCCTGAAACCAAACATGTGAATAATGCATTTCTGTCATTTTACTTGAATAAATGTAATCATTTATGATATAATTATAATGCATTACCCACAATCATTTTATTTTAAACATTTTAATTCAGAATGGTAAACACCTACAGAAGAATTTGCATCTGTATGTCCTTTGGATTAAGTAGAACAATAAACATTTCTTCTAATGTTTGTTTATTTATTTATTCATTCATTTTGTGTGACTTGTATTTTCTGCATTTGGTTACCTAACTAGTAGGCCTACATTTAAAAATGATAGGCAAGCAAACAATAAGAGTCTGATCCGTCGGAGGTCAGCAGGTTGTGCAGTGTAATAATGAAGGCGTCAGGTTGCTGTTGGACACGGGTCAGCGCTCACGTATACACATTCCTGTGGGATTTGATGGCTGGGGAGTCTTTAAACTACTTAACAGTGCCAAATCATATTTAAAAGCTCATCATCCATCTCTCTGTGCTTTAAGATACAGAAATAAAACTCAATCATGCACAAAGTCTCAGATTACATGTGCACTATACACCACAAAACAAAAACACATCATATAACCTACAACAACAAAGCTGGTTTGCTGGTCAGACTGGTTTGTTAGCTGGTGTCAGAGGGGTTTTCACGGAGACCAGCTAGAACAGCCAAGGACCAGCATGGGTCATCAAAGAGGCCATCTTAAACCGGCTAAAACCAAATGACTACCACACCAGTTTTAGGCTGTCATTTATTTATTCCATTTCCCCGACGTAAACCCTATAATAACTCACTCATTTCAGGGGTAAAATACTTAATAAATAAAAATGTGTTTATTTAGCCAAGCAGTTTCTACGTTTCTACTTTACATTTTTCTTTTTCTTTTTAGTTATTCTATTTACTCTGCCCTATTTATCTTCTATATTGTCTGTTTATGTACTGTACGTGGTTTATATGAAAATGTCGCCAAATTGTAGTGATGTAAATAAAACTTTCTTGTTGTCATTTTTTGTGTGTGTGTGTGTGTGTGTGTGTGTGATGTGTGTACTGGTTTATATATCCTGGTGGGGACTTAAACCTGACTACACACAGACTCATGGGGACTCGTGTCCCGGTGGGGACCTAAATTGAGGTCCCCACGGGTAAACAAGCTAATAAATCACACAGAATGAAGTTTTTTGAAAATCTAAAAATGCAGAAAGTTTCCTGTAAGGGGTAGGTTTAGGGGTAGGGTTGGTGTAGGGCAATAGAATATACGGTCTGTACAGTATAAAAACCATTACGCCTATGGAGAGTCCCCACAAAGATATGTGTGTGTGTGTGTGAGTGTGTGTGAGTGTGAGAGACGCGTTGAGCGCGCGCAGCCATGATCTCGGCACTGTTTTGAAAACATGGACTCCAGTTCTCGTCATTTAACACTGTTTTACATCGTTTTTCTGACTCTTACGTGCCATGTGGCGCTAGGAGAGGACACCGCCGGTGAGTAGTTTGTTTTAGCGAGTGTTTGATCTGTTTAGTGTTTAACACAAAGCTCGTGACTGTTTGGTTTGTTTTATGGCGATGCAAACAACAGTAAAGTTCAGTGCGTACTCGAGTTCATCTGAGATCTCCACTCCTCTCGCCGTGAAAAAAACACAGATTGTTTATTGCATTATTTTTGAATTATATTTCAAGGTTCGGAAACGAAATGTCAGTAGCTCTGCATCACAGTCACGAGCTTTGACTACTAACTTAGTAAGACTGGAAAAAATCTAGTCATTGAAAGAGGAAGCTCCACATGTTGTTTTGTTACAGTTATCAATACTGTAAAACCGTAATGCATTTCTTAAAGAGCTTTTTGAAGTTTACTGTCACGTTTAACTGTTTTTGGTGACAGTGACAGAACTTTCTGGAAATATCAGGGAATTGGTTTTCGAGAAATTATGATTTCCATGCACGCAAACGTAATTGAAATGAATTAAGTCTTTATTTTTGATGTAATAGACTGCAATCTTTAAATCTTTTTATAGTTCTATAAAAAATGAAAACTGTCTTTACTTACATACACATCCCTATGCTGCCATACGACGTTTGCGCTATATTAAGTCTTAAGTCTTCTGAAGTCATACGATAACTTTAGACGTTATGACATTATCCAAACATCATTAGTTCTTGCCTTTCTTGTTACCAAATGTTATTCAAAACTATTTCCTGGCACTATATTTGATTTAAGAGATATGAAAACTATTTTTATTTTTTCAGAACAGTTGGGAAATAGTGCATAAATCATATGGATTACATTTATGCCTTTCTTCTTACTTTAAAGGGGTCATATGATGCTGCTAAAAAGAACATTATTTGGTGTAATGAAATATGTTTATGCGGTTTAAAGTTCAAAAAACACATTATTTTCCACATACTGTACATTATTGTTTCTCCTCTATGCCCTGCCTTTCTGAAACGCGTCGATTTTTACAAAGCTCATCGGTCTGAAAAGCAAGGTGTGCTGTGATTGGCCAGCTATCCAGTGTGTTGTGATTGGCCGAATACCTCAAGCGTGTGACGGAAATGTTACGCCCCTCACCATACTGTGATGCCATGTCCCGGCCGGAGCGACGAAACAAAAAACATGAAAACCCATTACAAACGAGGCATTTGTTGCATCCAGTGAGGACATAATTACTGATTATAATGACTTATACTGTCTTTTTACGCGTTGCATTGCATCGCGCCGCGTAAACATAAAATTCTGTCTGCATTTGTGATCGGAGAAATGACAAACAACAAGCCCTACTCTACACTGCTTTGCAACTTTACAGATCTTCTTTATGCACCAAGAGCTTGTAACACTTCAAAGAGAAAGAAAAAATTGAAATCGCATCATATGACCCCTTTAATACTTTCTTTACTTTCATGAGTTTTTTTTTTTGTTTTTTTTTTAGTTTGACGAATGACACCATGAACTGTTGTTTAAGTTCAAAATGTCTTATGTGGTCCATGAAAAAAAAATAAAAATCTGTCTTTGCTAAACTCAAATGCTGCATTACACACTATCACAGCCAGTCTATTAGTGTACACATTTGATGTTCAGTGATTCTGAACCAATTGAAATATCACTGTGGGCAGGGCTACTCAGCAAGACATGCAAGGAATTGAACCAAAATGTCATCAAAATGTTCTTTCATTTGACAGCCGGTTTAAACAAAACCTCAAATTAGCTTGGAAGAGAGAGCTTTTACCACTTGTTGCCTTAGGACTCTTGTTGAGATGTTAACTTTAAAGTCCTATCTGTACAGACTGTCCTGCAGATGGACGCACGTGGTTGCCATTCAGCTTCAACTGCTATCACTTCGTCCATGGAGAGGAGGATGTTGCCAAAAGCTACTCCATTCAAGATGCAAAAGACATGTGCAGAGAATATGGTGGTTACTTTTTTACAATTTGCAAACTATAACACACTGAAATATCTAAACTTGTGCATTATTTTTATGCACTATATGGTACAGTTTAACCTTCCCTATTACGTTTTTAGATCTCTTGACAGTAAAAAGTGCGGAGGAGAATGACTTCATCGTTAAGTACAGTCCTTCTGTATGGGAAGGTAAAATGAGCGTCTGGCTTGGAATGTACTACGACAGCGACGGTAAGTTTGATTTCCATCCAAAAACATGCCTGCGTCTCAAAACCTAGTGATGTCCGTCTTTAAACTTCAGAATTGGATATATTTGCTTTTCTAATGCAGTATCTTATTGTGAGCATTTCATCAATACAGAAATAAAAGTTGGTTTTCTTAGGCCCAATCCCAATTCTACCACTTAGCCCTTCCCCTTAGCCCTTCCCCTTTCCCCTACCCCTCCGTTTCGCGCGTTCACGTGAAGGGGTAGGGGTAAGGGGAAGGGCCAGACAGCCCTTCAAACGAAGATTTTTCGGGACCACACTTCAAAAGAAGGGGTATGAATTGTCTCAGCGTAAACCGGCTTCAGGGGCAACATGGCTGCCCGAGCGAACAAAAAGACGCATAAATGTAAGCATTTTTGGCATTAATAAAGATTTTAACGAAAAGTAATCATTTGTTTTATGTTACATTCAATCGTGAGTTCATATTTACGGTCATGTTACTCAAAGAAATGTTTGCAAAAAATCACTATATTTGCTAACTAATGTCATATCATTATAGACTGCACGATAGTGCCACAACATATTTTCATGTCTGATCAGGGCGATAACCACCGTAGACATTGAGGGGGGCTAGTCCCTCCAATAATTATAAATCGCTAAACCCTTTCCTCAAATATTGCCAATTCGATAGAGAGAGACAGAGAGATGAAAGTTGTGTGTCTGTGCGTTTCTCTTTTTAGGGTGCGTTTACTTCAAAAACAGCGATTTTAT